CCGCGCGTAATGACCTGATTTGGGGTGAGCACGCGTCTGTACATGAATCTAGGCAAAGGTTAAAAAATCTACATTTGCAACCCAGAGGCAGCCTCTTAGAGTACACGCATTTTACGATCACTTATTTTATAGGTGAAGTTGCGCACTCCTGTAAAAAATAGTTCTCTGTCTACCGAGAGCAGCAGGACTTGTTCTCGGGTGCAGTAATTTTATCTCCTAACATGAGAGCAAAAATCACAAATACTTTCTACAATTAAGGCGGCCTATAAAATACTTGCTTACTTGTACTTGTTAAGGCTGCAATCACGCCTGATCTAGCCGGCCTCGATTATGTCCGTGATCGTACCTGACCACGCCCGACGAGCCATGGCAACAGACCTAGACAGTCCAATCTATATCCTTAGCCAACGCCGGCGGTCGAATACCGGAGGGTTAAGAACCACTTCCATGTCCCGATAGACTGAGTCGAACCAGGTTTAGAGCTGAGGCCTTCTTCAAAGTCTTTAATTGGGTAACGGAGTCCGATCGACGGCAGTCACACTGAGTTCCTCAGGAAGACGACGAAGAACGTGTCTAAACCAACTCAGTTGTCTTTCTTGGATAGCGTGGGCTATCCTGGCGATGTTGTCGCAGCGAATGCGGACTGTATCGTTTGAATCAAAGGTGGTGTAGTTCACTCGAAGGATGGTCCTTAAAGCGTAGTAGTCAAATATCTCCAGTTTCCTTCCATGTTATACACACGTAGCCCAGCATTCACTGCCGTAAAAGAGAACAGACCGAGCGGGTGCACGGTATATGTGAACCTTTGTGGCAATAGAAATAGCGAATCGGGCACTTTCTAAGGCTTGAGAAAACTCGACAAGTTGCGTCGATTCGGAAGATAATGTCATCCTTATTCTGTCTATTCGACAGCAACGTCACTCCGAATTATTTGAAATTGTCGACTTCTTAAAGTTGACAGCCTTCAATCTCAAGAGGTGCTATTTTTGGTCAGGGATGCAGCTTGAGAAAACATTGGTCTTTCTAGGATGCATGGAGCCCAGTCATCAGAAACGGCCTAGTCTCTTCACCTTTGTTCAATATCCTCATGGAGCTAGAGCGTCGACACAAGACTTGTATATTTCAATGGGTATACCATCCTTTATAGGTGCCTTTTTAACGTGCACCCATTGTATAGCGTCGGCGACTTCTTCAGAAGGTTGGTTTGGATGAAACTGGAGATATTATAGAAGGAAGAGACACCGCCATTGATGGAATCGAGAGGGGGGGCTGGGTTAGGTATCGTGATTGAGGAGGTACTCGAAGTGCTCAGACCAGGGCTTGACCTTGGCCGATTTGTCAGCAAAACAAACCACATTCACATCATGAACTGAGTCACTCAGTGAAGAGAGCTCAATACTAACCTTGCGGATAATTTGGCAGAGTTTTCCAGTATCACGGACTGGTCGTTTGAGTACCAGATTAGCAGTTATTTGTAGTAGTGCTGAAAGCACGTGTTCGTAACAGTCGGTTCTGATCAGTAAAGTTCAGCAATCTTTCACCATTGTCACATCGAGAACCAAACCCAAAAAGGTCATTAGAATAACTGTTAGTTGAGTCACCGGGTCCAGTCTGGCCATTCCAGTCCCAGACAACAATCAGCAGATCGCGGCGAAGGAGCCCTTCGACTAATGCTCGAAGTTGCGCGTAAATCATCTCCTTGCCATGTTGTTCGGCAGCGGAGGTTGGTTCGTACACGGAGACGATAGAGGTGTATGTGAAGTGACCTATCAGTCGCACTTAAGCCATCTGTTGATTGACTGATTTCCAAACAAGTAGTGAACGGCTCACTTGTTGCGAGAAGGCAATCGCCACATTGAGTCTACCGGAGAGGTAGCATGGGCCACTGTGGTATAGAATGAAGTGTGA